AAGGAGGAAGGGAAGGGAAGTAGCAAGGGAAGGGAAGGGAAGGGAAAGGAAAGGAAAGGAAAGGAAAGGAAAGGAGGAAGGGAAGGGAAGGAAAGGAGGAAGGGAAGGGAAAGGAAAAGCAAGGAAAGGAAAGGAAAGGAAAGAAGGAGGAAGGGAAGGGAAGGGAAAGGAAAGGAGGAAGGGAAGGGAAGGAGGAAGGGAAGGGAAAGGAAAAGCAAGGAAAGGAAAGGAGGAAGGGAAAGGAAATTAAAGGAAAGGAAAGGAAAGAAGGAGGAAGGAAGGGAAGGGAAGTAGGAAAGGAAAGGAAAGAAGGAGGAAGGGAAGGGAAGTAGGAAGGGAAAGGAAAGGAAAGGAAAGGAAAGGAAAGGACAAAAAAACCCTGAATTCTATGGTTAGGTTGTCTTCTTCTCCTTCTCCTTCTCCTTCTCCTTCTCCTTCTCCTTCTCCTTCTCATCCTTCTCCTTCTAGAAAACAACCAGGCTCAGAGAGCTTAAAGGACCACACAGTCATTGACCTCCTCCTCCTCCTCCTCCTCCTCCTCCTCCTTCCCCTCCTCTCTCGCAGTTCAAGGGGACTCTGAGCAGCTCTTATGCCACATCACCCAAGAAATATGGAAACCCACCTCTCCAAGAAATCCAAGAGAATTTCACCCAAGTTCTCGTCTCCTTGGAAGGAAATGCCAGAAGGAAATTCTTTTTCATCAGGCTGAACAAAACTTGGCAGAGGGAAAAAAATAAACTACAGGCGTTTTTGCTGCAGGACCAATAGTGGGATAGATGGAATAAAAATTAGGCATGAAGCAGATTCCCAAACTCTGAAAAATGTGGGCAGACAATAAACAATGATGCAGCATAAATAAATTCACTGCTGCACTTTCAAACTTCTTGCTGCCTAAATCTTCACTGTTCGATGCTTAAATTGAGGAATATTAATGCAGGGGAAAATGTAATTTTTTAGATGTCTGTAGAGATTCTCTGTCATCTGGGACACGGCTGTCCCGAAGGTGTTATTTTTCAGGAGGCAACTGGACTTTCTGGTTTTTTCTTTCCTTTGAAGACGTTTCGCTTCTCATCCCCGAAGGTTCTTCAGCTCTGACTTTTGGTTTTCAAAAGAAAAAAAAAACAACAGAAAGTCCAGTTGCCTCCTGAAAAAAAACACCTTTGGGAAAACCGTGACCTGGATGATGGAGAATCTCTACAGACGGTTAGCTATACAATTTGGGATGAAGACTCTTGAATGATGTGGGAGTAGGAAATGGATTTCCAGAGGAAAAATTGCAGGCTACAGGAACCATTGGCACAGAGGTGGGTTCCAGAAAATTCTGACCAGTTCTGGTGAACCGGTTGTGGAAATTTTGAGTAGTTCGGAGAACCGGTAGTGGAAATTTTGAGTAGTTCGGAGAACCGGTAGCGGAAATTTTGAGTAGTTCGGAGAACCGGTAGCGGAAATTTTGAATAGTTCGGAGAACCGGTAGCGGAAATTTTGAGTAGTTCGGAGAACCGGTAGCAGAAATTTTGAGTAGTTCGGAGAACCGGTAGCGGAAATTTTGAGTAGTTCGGAGAACCGGTAGCGGAAATTTTGAGTAGTTCGGAGAACCGGTAGCAGAAATTTTGAGTAGTTCGGAGAACCGGTAGCGGAAATTTTGAGTAGTTCGGAGAACCGGTAGCGGAAATTTTGAGTAGTTTGGAGAACCGGTAGTGGAAATTTTGAATAGTTCGGAGAACCGGTAGCGGAAATTTTGAGTAGTTCGGAGAACCGGTAAATACCCCCTCTGACTGGGCCCATCCTCATCTAGTCTATGCCTCCCGAGACCCAGCTGATCAGGAGGAAATGGGGATTTTGCAGTATCCTTCCCCTGCCATGCCCACCAAGCAACATCCAGAGAACCAGTAGTAAAAAAAAATTTGAAACCCACCACTGCATTTGCACCACTCAGGTGACCCTGAGGACACAGATAAACCTCCAAGTGCTTCAAAGACCCTCTAAATCTAAAAGGATGCAAATGATCAGCTGTCTGCAAGGAGTATCAATCCTTCCATTCCATTAGATAGATAGAGATTTTAATTTAATTTAATTTAATATTTAAATTTATATACCGCCCTTCTCCCGAAGGACTCAGGGTGGTGAACAGCCATAGGTAAAAAAAGATAGAATACAAAATTTAAAAACAATTAAAAAATATATTAAACAATTTGGCCTGACAGTTAAAATCCCCCATTTAAAATTCAAATTAAAATTACACCATTGGAGAGTTAGGCCAGCCCGGCTTGATGAAATAAAAAAGTTTTGATGATTGATAGAGATAGAGATAGAGAAGATGGATGGATGGATGATTAGATAGATAGATAGATAGATAGATAGATAGAGAGAGAGAGAGAGAGAGAGAGAGAGAGAGAGATAAATTGATGATATATAGAGAGACAGAGATATATAGATAAATATAAGAGAGGGATGGATAGATAGAGAGACAGATAGAGAGACAGACAGACAAATAGATCGAATAGATAGATAAATATAGATAGATAGATAGAGATTTAGAGATAAATGAGAGAGCGAGAGGGATGGATAGATAGATAGATAGATAGATAGATGATGAGAGATAGACAGACAGATAAATAGATCAAATAGATAGATAAATATAAGAGAGAGATGGATGGATAGATAGAGAGACAGATAGAGAGACAGACAGACAAATAGATTGAATAGATAGATAAATATAGATAGATAGATAGACAGAGATTTAGAGACGAGAGGGATGGATAGATAGATAGATAGATAGATAGATGATGAGAGATAGACAGACAGATAAATAGATCAAATAGATAGATAAATATAAGAGAGAGATGGATGGATAGATAGAGAGACAGATAGAGAGACAGACAGACAAATAGATTGAATAGATAGATAAATATAGATAGATAGATAGACAGAGATTTAGAGATAAATGAGAGAGAGAGAGGGATGGATGGATAGATAGATAGATGATGAGAGATAGACAGACAGACAGACAGATAAATAGATCGAATAGATAGATAAATATAGATAGATAGACAGACAGAGATTTAGAGATAAATGAGAGAGAGAGGGGGATAGATAGATAGATAGATAGATAGATAGATAGATAGATAGATAGATGATGAGAGATAGACAGACAGACAGACAGATAAATAGATTGAATAGATAAAGATAGATAGATAGATAGATAGATAGATAGATAGATAGATAGATAGATAGATAGATAGATAGATAGGATAAACAGAGACAGAGATATAAATTTTATACATAGAGAGAGAGAAAGAAAGACACAGAGAAAGAAGCAGAGAGAGAGAGAGAGAACATATTTTTACATCGTTAAATTTCATTTTGTTAGATAGGGATCAGGATAGATAGAAAGGCAGGAATTTCATCTTGTCAGAAGCAGGATTGGGGGTGGAAAAATAATCTCCTCCTAGTCAGAGGAGAGTCATCTTCGCAGGCTGCCAATCAGCCATTTGTCCTCCCCAGAGAAGGGAAGCCCTCTCTGTAATACAGTTGGAAAAGAAAATGGAAAAGTTGGCAAGAACTGAGAGCAACTCTGGCCCTCTGGGAGCATGTTAGAGAAACGTTCAGATTTCCTCCATCCACTCGGAGACGGAGACGGCTGCCTAATGGTTGCATTTCACAGAGAGGTCAACCGTTCCAAGTTTGCCTCATCCGAAGTAACTTCAGGATTATTCCCAGTCGTAAAAGGACCCTCAAATCAACCCGGTCGAGCTTGTAGTAGAGCCTCTAACTTAGCCATGTGGAACTGACACATGTTCTTCCCATCACATCCGTGGGCTCAGTTCCATCTGGCCGGCTTGGAGGTCGACGGAGGTCCTTAATGGATGGATTTTATGGCAGAAGTAAAGTGGGTTTTAATAGCCTCGATTAAAGTCCCGGATTAGAGGAGGTTTCGATCCGAGGGCTTTTTATCAATTTAGGAAACCTTTTGCACTTTCTTCTCGGAGGATTTGGAATTCGGAACCCAAGCAGCCTTCCAACTTTCTGTGTGACCCACCATCCTCTCTGTTGTAATCCGCCAGCAGCCTGCGGAGTTGGCTGGCTGGACAGTGAAGAGGCTGGGGAGGAACATGGGCCAGTCCTGGAGTCTGGGGAGGCCTGGATGAGGGCTCTGCGTCGGAGGCAGAGACGGGGCCAGGGCCATCTGAGAGTGATGCATGGACTCCGGAGCCCCCAAAGTTGGACAGCAGAGAGGCAGAGGAACAGGAGGAGCCTGTTCCTAGTGCACGCATGCGCAGAGCTTCCAGAAGGCAAGAGCAGCTAAAGCAAAAGGGATGACTCGGGAGTAAGGCTCGGAGATGATTGGCTCCTCCCATAAGGCTTAAAAGAGAAACACTTGGGGCCTTTTGCAGGAAAGCAACGTTGCTAACTCTGTTTCCAGTCGGCATCTCTTGTTTGTTTCTGAACTCTGTGGGGCTTTGCCAAGTAAGGCCTTTGGCAGGGTGTCAAAGAAGATAAAGGTTGGTGATTATCCTGAAGGACTTCTTCTGAAGGACTTGTTTCGCAACTAATTGGGACTCAGCTGGGAATGAACGTAATTATCAGCTGTTACAATAAAATAGGTTTTTTGGGGACTAATTGTGTATTGTAATTACTCAATAAGTCTTAGTCACAAGTCTCCCCACAAAAGCCTTCCAACTTTTTTTTTTAATTGGCAAACAAGAAGGAACTTCCCAGAGGTTACTAAACAATACGGTAATTGCAATATAAATCTATTAGGTAGATATCTAATATATATATATATCTTGGGCGCTATCTAACAAAATGAAATTCAATGGTGATAAAAGTAAGGTTCTACATTTAGGCAAGAAGAACCAAATGCACAGGTACAGTATATGTGCTACCTCGCTCAATAGTAGTAACTATTTTAGTAACTAGCAATAACAGAGTTTTCCTTCTGGAGGTTGTTTTTGCAGCTGGCTTGGCTCACCGGGTGGTCTCCTTTCCTTTTTTTTTAGAGCTTTGTTCAAGACTCCTTCGGCTTTGGCCTTGAACCAGAGCCAGCACTGCAAGCAGCTGGAAGGCCTGGTCGTTTCACAAGTACAACTTTGTCGTAGCAACCTGGAGCTGATGCAGACAATTATCCAGGCTGCTCGTGAGGTCATCAAGACGTGCCGGAAAGCCTTTTCCGACATGCGGTGGAATTGCTCGTCCATTGAGCGAGCTCCGAATTACTTGCTGGATTTGGAGAGAGGTAAAGGGGAAAAGGAAGAGGGGGGGGGAATGTCTTTCTAAAATTTTTCCAGACTTCCTCGATTAGCTACTGCTCACCCCTGACTCTTTACAGGTAGTCCTTGACTTACGACATTTAGTGACCGCTCGAAGTTACAACAACATGAAAAAAAACAACAACTTATGACATATAACTGTTGCATACACCTTTGAACGGTGACGTGATCAAAATTCAGGGCTCTTTCTTGTACAGATAGTCCTCGATTTACAGCCATTCGTTTAGTGACCGCTCAAAGCTACAAGCACAGTGTGAGGGAAAAAAGTGACATAAGTGCTTTTCTCCCTTAACGACCGTTGCGGCATCCCACGTAATCAAGATAATCAAGATTTTTTTACTACTGGTTCTGTGGGCGTCGCTTATTTTGTGGGCGTGGTTTGATGGTCATGTGACAAACAATTCTTTCGGATTTAGCGGAGGTACTGGTCTACCAGGCTTTTAACTGCTTGCAAAGCCGTACCGGTCTAACCATTTGTTTTTGGAGCGTTCCGGTCTACCACCACACTGCCTTTTACCGCTGATCAGCTGTAGGGCGGCCCTTTGAAGTGCCGCGGCAAGAATTTAAACAGTTTTTTGCCACTCTGCCACCACCGAGAGCATCGGAAACCGCTTTCAGGCAGCTTGGCCTCAGTTGCCAATCTACCACCACCGAGCGGTTTACAAGAAGTTGAGAGGCTTCTTGGCTTCTCAATTTAAAGCTACAGTGTCTTATTTTTTTTTTCCTCTTCTTTGTCAAGTGAGCCCTGATTTTTTCCTTCTAGCCGATCAGCTGGAAGTCGGGAGGCAGCGAATACATTGGGGGCGGGGCCAGGCAGAGGTGGTATTTACCGGTTCTCCGAACTACTCAAAATTTCCACTACCGGTTCGCAAGAACCGGGGAGAACCAGTAGCAACCCACCACTGATGTGATCCGTTTTTTCTGACAAACAAATCCATGTTCATTTAACCAACATGTTACTAACTTAACAACTGCAGTGATTCTCTTAACAACAAGAAATGGAGCAAAACTCAAGAACCTGTTGTTTAGCGATGGAAATGTTGAGCTCAGTTGTGGTCGTACATCGAGGATAACCTGCACTTACGATCGGGTCAGGGAATTGCCATTTGTGACCTTCCCAGCCGGCTTTTGATGAGGGCTTAAAACATTCACTGGAAACCTGGTTTAGGATTTTCTGGTGGAATGCATTCTGGGGAAGCTGGTTAGTTTAGAGCAGAATTTCATTGAGGGCCGCATCAGGGTTGTGGTTGACCTCGAGCGACCGAGTGGGCGTGGCCGACCGGGTGGGTGTGGCCAACTAGGTGGGCATGGCCATCTTGACACCACTCACTGGGTGTGGCCAACTCAGTGGGCGTGGCCAAGTAGTGGGTGTGGCCAGCTTGACGCCACTCCCCAAACTGCTGGCGTGTTTTCTCTTCATGTTGGGTAGACTTAGCCGAAGCGACATGGGCCAGCCCCTTACATTTTCCAGGCCGGCCCTGCCAGCCGGATCTGACCACATTCTTGTGTTTGACACCCCTGGTTTAGAAGGTCAACAGCAGTGGTGAGTTCCTCCCAGTTCAGCCCGGTTCGGCCGAACCGGTAGCGGTGACGATATGACATCACCGAACCGGTTCTCTTTGTTCGGGAGCTGGGCCCTCCTGCCTGCCCCCCGCCCCCCACGTTATTCTTACCTTTTATTTGGCCCCACCCCCAATCTATTGCTACCTCCTGAGTCCCAGCTGATTGGCTAGAAGGAAAAAAAACTGTTTAAACTCTTGCCGTGGGGCTTCAAAGGGCCGCCCTACAGCTGATCAGTGTTAAAAGGCAGTGTGGTGGTAGACCGGTGCCTGCAAAAACAAATGAGTAGACCAGTACAGCTCTGCAAGCAGTTAAAAGCCTGGTACCTCTGCTAAATCCTAAAGAATTGTCACATGACCATCAAGCCACACCCACAAAATAAGCCACGCCCACAGAACCGGTAGTAAAAAAATTTAGAACCCACCCCTGGTCAACAGCATGGGTCCCAACCCCCAGGACGTGCGACCTGTTCGAAACCGGGCTGTGGGAATAGATGGGCAAGCGTGTGCATGCGCGAAGCCCCACTTGCATGAGTGGAGGGTGCTTGCACTCACACGTGAAATGCCAAGCACGGGAAGTTCCATTCGGGCAAACGGAGCTTCATGCGCAAGCACAAGTGCAAGCACCCTCGGCACGCACGCAAAGCTCCATTCGTGCGAGTGGAGCAGTGGTGGGTTGTTCTGTGGATGTGGCTTGGTGGGCGTGGCAGGGAAAGGATACTGTAAAATCTCCATTCCCTCCCCACTCCATTTCCTACCGATCAGCTGGGACTCAGAAGGCAGAGAATAGATGGGGACAGGGCCAGTCAGAGGTGGTATTTACCGGTTCTCCGAACTACTCAAAATTTCCGCTACCGGTTCTCCAGAACTGGTTAGAACCTGCTGAAACCCACCTCTGGAGTGGAGGGCCCGTATGCCTGCCGCTTGCATGAATGGAGATGCACATGGGTGCCATTGCCTGCCACTCACTCACTCTCTCTCACACACACACAAACACACCAATGCCAGGCCAGGCCCAGTTGTCATGTTGTAACGTTTGGGGACCGCTGTTCTACAGAACGATGTGTGACGCTGTCGGTCTCTTTTCCAGGTACCAGGGAGTCTGCTTTTGTATACGCTCTCTCTGCTGCAGCCATCAGCCACACCATCGCCCGAGCCTGCACTACCGGGGACCTCCCTGGCTGCTCCTGTGGTCCCATCCCAGGTGAGACACCTGGACCTGGGTATCGCTGGGGAGGATGTGCTGACAACCTCAACTATGGTCTTGTCATGGGGTCCAAATTTTCAGATGCTCCCATGAAGATGAAAAAATCAGGATCACAAGCCAATAAGCTGATGCATCTACACAACAGTGAAGTAGGGAGACAGGTAACCAAGAGGTTTGTTGTCATTGTGCAATCATCAAATTGGGGGGTTGGACCCATGAATAGTTTCGTGTAGCGGTTAAGCTGCCGGCTTAGAAACCAGCTGGGAAGGTTTACATATAGCAATCGCGCGACCCTGGGGACGCTGCAACCATCATAAGTACATGCCAGTTGCCAAGCCCGCGAATTTTGATCAGGCGACTCTGGGGGGGGGGGGTGTTTGCTGTAAGGGTTGTAAGTGGGAGGACTCATTTTGGTTGCTCGGTTTTTTTTGGTGCCTTAGAGCAGGGGTGTGAAACTCAAGGCCTGCGGGCCAAATCCGGCACTCAGGGTGCTTAGATTTTGCCCACGGGGCCACCTTGGAAATAGCAAAGACTGGCCCATGGTGCCTCTACCAACCAAAACGGAGCTCAGGAGGGCCGCGTACTGCTCAGTTTTCATTGGCAGAGAGCTGCAGGAGGATTCCCCCAGCCCCGCCCGTGCTACCACAGGTGCCCCCTGACATGAGTGATGTCGAGCTGGCGGTTGTGACGTAGGCTTCCTGAGTCCTTCAAACACACGAGTAGTCCCAAAAACCTCTTTTATTACAACAGCTGTGAATTACGTTCATTCACAGCTGAGTCCCAATTAATTGCAAAAAGTCCTTTGGGAGAAGTCCTTCAGGATAATCACCAATCTTTATTTCCCTTGACACGCTGCCAAAAATCTACTTGGCAAAGCCCCACGGAGTCCAGAATCAAACAGAGATGCCGACTGGGGACAGAATTAACAATGTTGCTTTCCTGCAAAGGGCCCACGTGTCTTTGCTCCTCTTTTAAGCCTTATGGGAGGGGACAATCATCTCCAGGCCTTACTCCTGAGTCGTCCCTTTTGTTTTAACTGTTCTTGCCTTTTGGCAGCTCTGCGCATGCACGCACTAGGAACAGGCTCCTCCTGTTCCTCTGCCTCTCTGATGTCCGACTCTGGAGGCTCCGGAGTCCGCGCATCACTCCCAGATGGCCCTATCTCTGCCTCCGATGCAGAGCCCTCGTCCGAGCCTTCTCCAGACTCCAGGACTGGCCCATGTTCCTCCCCAGCCTCCTCACTGTCCGACTCCGCTGCCAGCTTCGCAGGTTGCTGGCGGACCACAACACTGGACACGCCCACCCTGGCCACACCCTCCCCAGGTCAAACACAACCGTGATGTGGCCCTCAATGAAATCAAGTTTGACGCCCCTGCCTTAGAGTCCGAAGGGCACTTCTTTCAGTGCCATTCTAACTTTTGGCGGTCACTAAACGGTCATAAATGGAGATCCACAGGTAACAGGACAAACTTATCCCTGGGGAAGAAATTGAATCCATCGCTTGTGTAAATTTCCTTGCTTGCTCCAGAAGCCTTGTTTGCAAGTCTCTAACACAGAGGTGGCCGAAGGGTTTGGTCCAAGAGATCATCAGTGGTGTGATCAAATCTTGCATGCGGGCAGTGTGTATAAAAACAGGCAGATCACACCACGCTAGATCAGATCACACCTGACTTTTGGACCAAACCCTGAGATCCTACAATGTATGTAGAGAAGAGCAAGAAAGATGACAAAGATTCTGGAGGATAAATCATGCGGCAGATATCTGAGGGAGCTAAGGGTAGATATGGCTAGCCTTTGAAGAGAAGGATCAAGAGGACATGATAACAGTCTTCCACTATCTGAAGGACTTTCACAGAGAAGAGGGGGTCAACCTATTCTCCAAAGCACTGAAGGCAGGGCAGGAAGTAATGGGTGGAAACGAATCAAGAGAAGCAACCTAGAACTAAGGAGAAAGTTCCTGACAGTGAGAAAAGTTAGTCAATAGAATGGCTTACCTCAGATGTGCCATCACTGGAGGTCTTCATGAAGTTGAATAGCCGTTTGTTTGTTTGTTTTGTTTTTGATTTTTATTAAATTTATATACTGTCCTACTCCCGAAGAACTCAGGGCGGTGAACAGGCACAAAATAAAATACATAGATACAAAAGTTAGAAACATAATTAAAACCAGATTAAATAATTTAGCCCGAGACAATTAAAAATCCCAATAATTTAAAACAAATTAAAATTTCGATTTAAAAGAATTTTAAAACAGGGGAGAAAATTAGGCCAGGCCGGCTTGCTGGAATAGGAGGGTCTTAAGAGCACGGCGGAAAGTGCGCAGATCCGGGATCCTCCGTATCTCTGGGGGGAGCTCATTCCAGATAGTAGGTGCCCCCACAGAGAAGGCCCTCCCCCTGAGGGCCGCCAGTCGACATTGTTTGGCTGACGGCACCCGGAGGAGCCCCTCTCTATGAGAGCGTACTGGTCGGTGGGAGGCTGTTTGTGGTAGTAGACGGTCCCGTAAATAACAGGACCTCCAGGTCCTAAGCCATGAAGCGCTCTAAAGGTGGTGACCAAAACCTTGAAGCGCACCTGGAAGACCACTGGGAGCCAGTGCAGCTCGTGCAGGAGAGGTGTCACATGGGAGTGCCATGTTGCTCCCATAACCACCCGCGCGGCCGCATTCTGCGCCAGTTGGAGCCTCCGGGTGCTCCTCAAGGGGAGCCCCATGTAGACTTCCCATTTGTCGGGAAGTTTAACGAAAAGAAGGACTAGGGGCGACATGATAGCAGCATTCCAATATTTGAGGGGCTGCCCCAAAGAAAAGGGGGTCAAGCTATCCTCCAAAGCACTAGAAGGCAGGACAAGAAATAATGGATGGAAACTAAGCAAGGAGAGAAGCAACCTAGAACTAAGGAGAAATTCCCTGACAGCCAGAACAATTAATCAGTGGAATGACTTGCCACCAGAAATTGTGAGTACTCCATCACTGAGAAACAGAATGAATAAGAGAGTTGAAAGGAACTTTGAAGGTCTTCTTGTCCAGCCCCCTGCTTAGGCAGGAAACCCTACACCATTTCTGACAAATGGTTGTCCAATCTCTTCTTAAAAACTTCCAGTGTTGGAGAATTCACAACTTCTGCAGGCAAGTTGTTCCATGGATTGAATAACATTTGACTGGGTTGCTCTAAGGCTATGGTCTATGCCCATGATGGCGAACCTATGGCACGCGTGACCGAATTGGCACGTGGAGCCATGTCACACACAGCATCGCCCGTTCCTTTTCCGGGTTTCTGGCGCGCATATGCGCGCAACAATCAGCTGGCCTTTTTGCATGCGGTAGTGCCGGAAACTAGAAACTAGTCGTCCATTTTCCTGAGTGAGCATGTACGCCGGCCAGCTGATCGTTGCATACGCATGCAAGCCAGAAACCCGGAAGAGAAACTGGCTGAAACCAGAAGTTCATTTTTGGGCTCGTGCATGCGCCCTAGGCAGCTCCTCTTCCGGCAGAGGTGGGTTTCAGCAGGTTCTGACCAGTTCTGGAGAACCGGTAGCGGAAATTTTGAGTCGTTCGGAGAACCAGTAGTAAAAATTCTGACTGGCCCCGCCCTCATCTATTCTCTGCCTCCCGAGTCCCAGCTGATCGGGAGGAAATGGGGATTTTGCAGTAACCTTCCCCTGGAGTGGGGAGGGAATGGAGATTTTACAATATCCTTCCCCTGCCACGCCCACCAAGCCATGCCACGTCCACCAGACCACACCCCCAGAATCGGTAGTACAATTTTTTGAAATCCACCACTATCTTCCGGGTTGCGGCCCAGACGTGTATGTGCAAACTACGCATGCATGCACGCTTCCTTTTCGGCACTCGGTGCCAAAAAGTTTCGCCATCACTGGTCTATGCCTTGAGTAGGGGGGTTGAATGAGAAGACCTCCAAGGTTCCTTCTAGCTCTAGGTTTCTATTCAGCCTGAGGACAGATAGTTATGCACCATTCAGGGTTCCCGGGCAGGCATGTCACCAAGCAAGTTGAATGTTGGCAGAAAGAGAGACGGTTCCTTCAATGTTCTTGTGTTGCTGTTTTTTCCAACAGTCCCTGAAAGCCTCTTTGGAGATGAAATGCAAGTGTCATGGAGTTTCCGGCTCTTGTTCCATCAAGACCTGTTGGAAGGGCCTTCAAGATTTGAAGGACATCGCCCTGGATTTAAAAAACAGATATCTTTCGGCCACCAAGGTTGTCCATCGTCCCATGGGCACTCGCAAGCATCTGGTGCCCAAGGAACTTGACATCCGTCCAGTGAAGGAATCCGAGCTGGTATACTTGCAAAGTTCTCCGGATTTTTGCATGAAGAACGAGAAAGTGGGCTCCTACGGGACGCAGGACAGGTAAGGAGTGTCCAGGTGTGGGCATGGATGCCTCTCCTGAATTTTGGACCCCTTTGGGGATGGCTGCTTTTGACAGCTGAGGAAAAATGTTATTTTCTTTGGAGCCCAGTTTAAGGGTGCAGGTAGTTCTTGAGTTACGACCATAATTGAGCCCAGAATTATATAGTTGTACCCAGGAGTGAAATGCTACCGGTTTGGGCTGGTTTGCCCGAACCGGTAGTAATAATTGCTACCGTATGCCCGAACCGGCTTTAAAAAGTACGACAATCAGCTGTGCCGTCCAATTGTTGGAACTTTTAAAAAACTTTTTAAAAGCATTTTTTTACTACCTATTCACCCAAACCGTAGTAAAAAATTTTTTTAAAAAGTAAAAAAAAAAAAAAGTTCCGAAGATCAGCTGTGTGACAATCAGCTGTGCTGGGAAATGACGGAACTTTTTTTTTTTACTTTTTTTTTATTTAGCATTTTTTTTAGTACCAATCAGCTGTGAGAAAATCAGCTGTCCTGCTTGTTGCGGGGGCCATTTTGTGTGAAGTCCAGCGGCTTTTGCCTTGTGTGTGAGTCAGTTGTGCAGCCACGCCCACCCGGTCACATGACCACCAAGCCACACCCACCAAGCCACACCCACAGAAAGGGTAGGGAAAAATTTTTGAATTCAACCACTGCTTGTACCGTTGTGTTGATCATAAACGAGTTGTCACAGAACTGGCCTCATTTTACATCATTTTTGAAAAGTGATGTTAAGTGCTATAAAATAAATAAATAAATAGATAAGACTGCATGAAGCTTAGGAAGGATCACTCCTGGAACTTTTGCAGCTGCGCAACGATGCGAGGCTAATTCCCCACTTAACTCCTCCTCCCTGCCTGGCTGGATGTTTCCCAACAAGAACCATTCCATCATCCCCAACAATGAAAGGCATTGATGGGAGCTGATTATCCAACACAACCAGTTAAATATGAGCCAGCTGTGTGCGGTGGCAGCCAGCTGTGTGCGGACAGCAGACTAATAGCCTGTTATTAACATTCAGCTGCCTGCAATTACTGCAGGTTTGAATCTCGCCAGGCTCAAGGTTAACTCAGCCTTCCATCCTTTCTAAGGTAGGTAAATTGAGGACCCAGTTTGTGGGGGCAATAAGATGACTTTGTATAAATATACAAAAAAGTATGAAGGCTATTGCTTAACGCATTGTAAGCCACCCTGAGTCTCCGGAGAAGGGCGGCATATAAATCAAATTAAAATAAAATAAAATAAAATAAAATAAAATAAAATAAAATAAAATAAAATAAAATAAAATAAAATAAAATAAAATAAAATAAAATAAAATAAAAAGCCACTGCAATCCTAAATTGCATTAACAGAGGGATTCAATCAAGATCAAGGGAGGTACTAATACCACTCTATAAAGCCTTAGTAAGGCCACACCTAGAGTCCTGCATCCAGTTTTGGTCACCACATTATAAAAAAAGATGTGGAGACTCTAGAAAAAGTGCAGAGAAGAGCAACCAGGATGATTAGGAGACTGGAGGCTAAAACATACGATGAACGGTTGCAGGAACTGGGCCTGGCTAGTCTAGTGAAGAGAAGGACCAGGAGAGACATGAGAGCATCTTCCAATATTTGAGGGGCTGCCACAGAGAGGAGGAAGGGGGTCAAGCTATTCTCCAAAGCACCCGAAGGCCAGACAAGGAACAATGGATGGAAACTGAACAAGGAGAGATTCAACCTAGAAATAAGGAGGAATTTTCTGACAGTGAGACCAATCAACCCATGGAACAGAAGTTGCCTTCAGAAGTTGTGGGAGCTTCATCCCTGGAAGCTTTCAAGAAGAGACTGGACTGACATCTGTCAGAAACGGTGTCGGCAGGATCTCTTGGTTGGGCAGGGGGTTGGACTAGATCAGTGGTCACCAACCTTTTTATCGCCGCGGCCCGCTGAGCGCGCGCAGGGGTGGGGGCACGGCCCAGGAGCTTTTGTGCACGGCCCATTGCGCACGGCCCAGGAGCCTTTGCGCTGCAGCGTTCATGTCCCCCGGCCGCTGCGCGGCCCGGTGCCAGGTACTCCACGGCCCGGCACCGGTCCGTGGACCGGGGGTTGGGGACCACTGGACTAGATGACCTACAAGGTCCCTTCCAACTCTGATAAATCTGTAAACATCTGGAGGGCAGCTGCCCGAGGCTGATGCTTAGGTAGAATGATGTCCTAATGTACAGTTCTCCAACCATCCTGCAAGTTGTCTTAATGTTTTGCTTTTCGCCCGGAAGATTTTTCGTTTTAGATAAACGCTCCTCGTCTTTGGCCAAACAAAAAGTCTTAGAATTGGAGCAGCCCCGCGGCGAATAGTCAGGGGTCCAGCTGGCCTGGAAAGAGTCCAACAGAACCGTTTACATCTGAGGCACTTTGGATTCAGACTATCCGAGATCTTTCAATGCACGTTTATTTGTTTTGAATATATACGGTCCCCGGGTGAAATTTCCTTCTGGGGAAATTTCAGCTTTGCAGAGTTGTCGGCTGGGATCTCAGCTTCCCTCAGTTAGGCTGATGTGTTGGCACGGCTGGAGGTTGCACCAAGAAAATCTCCTACCAGCCCTTCGAGGTAGGCTAGCTAGGCCAAGAAACGTTAGCTAAGCCTCTTTTTGTAAATCCCAATACAGGTAATCCTCGAGTTACGGCCACAATTGAGCTCCAAAATTTCCGTTGCTCGGCGGGACGGTTGCGAAGTGAGTTTTGCCCCATGTTATGACCGTTTCTTGCCACAGTTGTGAAGTGAATCACGGTGGTTGTTAAGTGAGCTACATGGTTGTTAAATGAATCTGGCTTCCCCATCAGTTTTGCTTGTCAGAAGGTCGCAAAAAGGGGATCCCCTGACCCCAGGACACTGCGACCGTCATAAATATGAGTCAATTTGGTTTTAATTGGGTTATTTTTAATATCTTGGGCCGAAATTATTTAATTTTTTTAAAACTGTTTTTAAATTTTATATGCAATGTTTTATCCTGGCTGTACACCGCCCTGAGTCCCGCAGGAGAAGGGCGGTATAGAAATAAAATAATAATAATAATAATAATAATAATAATAATAATAATAATAATAATACATTATAATAATAATAATTGCCAAGCACCTGAATTTTGATCATGTGACTATGGGGATGTTGCAATGGTCGTAAGTGTGAAAAATGGTCGTAGGTCGCTTTTTTTCAGTGCTGTTGTAACTTCAGTCACTATAAACAAATGGTTGTAAGTCGAGGACTTCCTGTACACAGCAGTTGGGCTGGAGATGGGGGGGTGTCCTTCAGAGAGGGAGGACTTGGTAATCCTCGTCTTCCAGATGTTTGGGCTAACATCTGGAAGCCCATAAGCACTGGACTCCATAGTCAACAAAAGAGATATAGAGAAGGATCTATAGCAGGGGTAACAAACTGGATTTCTTCGAGAGGCGGATCAGCATTGTAGTTCTCCTCCACGGGCTGGCAGAGGGGGGGAGCAGGGGGGGAGACGGGACGGACACCTCCTGCAGCACCCCGTCAGCCAAAATGGGGTGCAGGGGGGCGCACATGACCCCCTCTGCCCCATTTTCGGCCTCCAGCAGTACTCTGCCAGCCAAAAATGGGCCGCGCGGAGACTCCCACACGGTCCATTTCAGCCGGTAAAGTGCTGCAGGAGGCCGGGGAGGCCAAAAACGGGCCGTCGGGCCCCCACATACAGCCCATTGTGGTCAGCAGAGGCATCGGGGGCTAGTCCTTTGATATTTCCAGGCCGGCCCTGCAGGCCGGATTTAAGCCCCCTAAAGGTTGGATCCGGCCGGCAGGCCTTGAGCCCTGATCTTTGGGAACTAATCCATCCTTATATCTCCTTCCTTCCTCCTGTTGTAAGTCGAGGACTACCTGTAGTGAGAAACAAAGAACAGACAAAGAACAATCGAAATAAGAATAACTTCCAACTTTCTTTGATAGCTATGAATAACAGGAACACATCCAACTTACTCTAAAGTTAACATTTGTCCGTGACGTTTTAATAATCTCCTATCATTCCAATAACCGACCTTCCATTTCTTTCCGTTTCTCCCCGAAATCCCAACTCCTACCCTTGCTCTATTTTTTTCTGCAACTCTTTCCAAACTGAGATTAAAATTGATCCAGACCTTTTCTTTAATCACCTCGACTCCCACAATGGACGAATGGCTGTAAAAATTGATGGGAGTTAGCGGAGATGGTTAAATTGACAATCACAATTCAAGGTGTTGGTTATTACCTGTAAATCCCTACATGGCTCAGGGCCAGGTTATCTTCGAGACCGCCTTCTACCGCATAGCTCCCAGCGACCGGTAAGATCCCACAGAGTCGGTCTCCTCCGGGTCCCGTCAGCTAAACAATGCCGGCTGGCGGGCCCGCGGGGGAGGGCCTTCTCTGTGGCTGCCCCGGCTCTCGGGAACCGGTTACCTCCTGAGGTCCGGATCATCCCCACCCTATTGGCCTTCCGGGAAGCGATGAAGACTGGCTTTTCCGGCAGGCCTGGGACCGTTGATCTCACTCTTGTGATCTGGCGAGATCCGGCCACGAATGGTATGAATGAGTTTTTAATGTTTTTAATGTTTTAATGTTTTTAATTTTTCAATGTTTTTTATAATGATTTTTTAAAATGTATTGTGAGCTGCCCTGAGTCTTTGGAGAGGGGCAGCATATAAATTGAATTAATTAAATTAAATTAAAAAATTAAATTAAATTAAATTAAATTAAATTAAATTAAAAAATTAAATTAAATTAAATTAAATTAAATTAAATTAAATTAAATTAAATTAAATTAAAAAATTAATTAAATTAAATTAAATTAAATTAAATTAAATTAAATTAAATTAAATTAAATTAAATTAAATTAAATTAAATTAAATTAAATTAAATTTGATTAAAAAGAGAGAAAAAAAATCAAATACTTTTATTTCTACCGGTACTTGGAAACCGCTTCTGGACTTTATGCTTGTGATGGGGAAAAAAAAAATGAAACT